TGACATGTTGTGAGCAGACCAAGGTCTACTTGTTGTGGAGGAACTAAGGCTGTTAGTCTAACAGACCCCCAGAAACTAAGCCTGCACACAACTACATAAACGAGCTTGGAAGCAGATATTTCAAGTCCATTGAAATCCTGCAATGACTTCAGCCTCATGAGAAACCTTGGGCCAGAGGCACTCAGCTAAACTGCTCCTAGGTTCCTGACCAACAGAAACTGTGCTTTAATTATTTGTTGTTTTAAGCTGCTTCATTCTGGAATAATTTCTTATGCAGCAATAGGTTGATACAATTAAGTTCGCAAACTTATCCTAGAAAAAGTGCTACATACCTCATTGCTGAATATCACTACGGTCACCTTTGAAGTACTCCCCTTGGGAAGCTATGCACCAATGCCAGCGCCTGGTCTACCCTTCAAAGCAATTTTGGAACTCTTTTCCTGGAATGGCCATAAAAGCTGTCATCGTATTACCCTTGATGTCCTGAATGTCATCAAAATGTCTTCCTTTCAATATTTCCTTTATCTTCAGGTAAAGAAAGAAGTCCTTGGGGGCCAGACCAGGTAAGTAGGGAGGGTGTTCCAATATAGCTATTTGTTTACTGACTAAAAGCTCCCTCACAGGCAGTGCCATGTGAGTTGGTGCATTGTGATGATGCAAGAACTACGAATTGTTGGTGAAAAGTTCAGGTCGTCTAACTTTTTCACGCAGCCTTTTCAGCACTTCCAAATAGCAGTCTTGGTTAACTATTTGTCTAGTTGATATAAATTCCTAATGAATAATCCCTCTGATATCAAAAAAGGTTAGCAACATCGTTGCAACAAGTTCGCAAACTTAATTGTCCGACCTCGTATCATACAGAATAGTTTCACTGCCCTAAAAATCCTCTATGCTCTACCTGTTCATCCCTCCCTTCTTCCTAACCCCTGGCAACGACTATCTTTACTACATAGTTTTGCTTTTCCAGAATCTTACAGTATGTAGCCTTTTCAGATTGGCTTCTTTCACTTAGTAACACGCATTGAAGGTTCCTTCACGTCTTTTCATGGTTTGATAGCTCACTTCTTTTTAGCATTGAATAATAGTTCATTACATAGATGTGCCACAGTTTATTTATCCATTCACGTACTGAAGGCATCTTGGTTGTTTCCAAGTTTCAGCAATTAT